AAACATCTTACACTCTGCTGCCATCAAGTGGACGGAAGTGCTTATTACACAATGAGGCTTTTATTTTGGCAACAATGTTGGAGGGAAAAGATTAGGACATGTTTCAGTTATTAGTTGTAGGTTGGTCGGTGAATACTTTTTTAAAGTAAACCGAGTTTCAAAATGTCTATTCATGTCTGCAGCTGTTTGCACAAAGCAAACCAACTCACCAGCATACAGTCATACTTCAGACAATAGTGATTTCATCTTTGTGGCAAAGGTTTGGGGAAAAGCTCCTTCATTTTTTCAGCAGATCAATGTCTCTGCAGTCTAGAGCAGTTTTGTCTCAGCCTGGCGCCGGTGGACCCGACCGGCCTCCTCTGAGCTCTGGCCTCAACACCATCAAACACCGCTGGGATGAACTAGAAAGTAAACCGTGAGATTTACAACACGATGAGCCCAAATCTCTGCAGCCAGAGTCCACATTCTTGTGGTTTCTTCTGTTACAGCAGCACAGTAGAGGATCAGCGTCCATGTGTTCACACCACTGATGGATGGATAATCGGTCTAGCTGATTATCGTGGCCGAGATTTGGCATTTTTCAAGTTATCAGTGTCTGTATTTTTATTGACCGGTTATTGATACATTAAATGCGTTACTTCAGGTCCGATGCAGCCTCCTCTGTCTGTCTTTAGTCACTCTGTGGACTCAGAAATGTCTCTCAAGCAGAGAAAACTGAACAAGAAACACAGGCTGTTACCACAAACCAGGAAGTGACACTTAACAGCATTTACTTTTTTATGAGAAAATAACCAGATGGTAAGCCAGAACATCACCAAAATGTAATCATCTGTTCATTGTGCCATTATCAACATTTCCTGAAAAGTTCATAAAAATCTGTTCATAGCTTTTCTAGTTATCTTGCTAACAAACAAACAAACAGATACAGTCGTGCTCAAATTTATTCATATCCTTCCATTAAAGAAAAGGCAAAATTCACAGTAGTCACTCAAATAATTAGAAACTGAAAAAAGTACTAATAAATAAAAATTTGCTAAATTATAATTTAGTGAAATAAGACATTACTTTTGAATTATGATTGAAAAGAGTAATTTTAAAAAAAAATAAAAATTGTGCTGGACAAATTAGAGCACTTTGCTGATGAACAGTGAAATCTAAATACCTGTCAACAGGTGCTGAAGTCTGATTGAGAGTTACAGAAAACACTTGATTGCAGTGATTGGCTCAAAGGGTTGTTTAACTAAATAATAGTTTATAGGTCCCATCATGCTTGTTTGCTTGCTTGTTTGTTTTTTATATACATATATATCTGTTGAACCACAATTCAAAAGCAATGATTATCATTAAATTTAGTCAATCTCAACTTATTTCAGTGACTGAAGCTGTTTTTTTTCCTTCTTTAATGGGATGGTATGAATAAATCTGACTGTAAACGCTGGTTAAAACATAACCTCCTTGGTGGAGGTAATAATGCTGTCAGATATGGCCCTTAGTGGACAATATAAGCGATAGAACAGTGAAAGAAGAGAAAACTGATCAATCTCAGTGGATCCCTTGAACAGAGGAGCGCGTCCTAATCTAATCACTCCTGTTTCTATTTTACATATTCAGTTCTAGTCACTCTTATTAATGAAGAAGTCTAGTTATGAATGACAGGTTCCTGCTATCACTTGTTGGTAAAACATTACATTTAATGTATTTTGGTTCCAAATGGGGCTTCAGGGTGGCGCAGTTGGTAGCACTGTTGCCTCGCAGCAAGAAGGTTGTCGGTTCGCGTCCTGGTGGGGGCACCGGAATCTTTCTGTGTGGAGTTTACATGTTCTCTCCGGGTTCTCTTCCCACACAGTCCAAAAACATGTTGAGGTTAATTGGTGATTCTAAATTGTCCGTAGGTGTGAATGTGAGTGTGCTTGGTTGTCTGTCTCTAA